AAATTAGATTACAAATTATCATTATTTTCTTGTACAAAATTGAATATTCATCTGTACTAAATTGGTTGTTCTTTTGTACAAATTTGCTGTCAAATAGTGTAATATTAAAAAAAATGCAGAGTTGGATTTCATAGCTTATTGGTTAAGCTTACAAACCCCACAAACAAGGTTAATGATTCAAGTTAGGCTGAAGATATTTTGAAATTGTTTCTATAATCTTAGAAAGCTATAATTGAACATAAAACCCTGTGACTAAGTTCAAGTGCAAGTATAAAACTGGACTAGAAATTTCTGAAAGAAAGCCCAACGTGGAAGGTAGGAAATATATGTAATAGTGGTATTACAGAAGGCTTTGATACAAGATTGCATGAACATCAGCCAATTGGACGAGATAACTTATCAAAAATTATTTTAAAGATTACTATCTATTTCGATAACTAAACGACTAAACAATTAGGATTATCAATCAATTAATTGTCTTAAAATTTTTATAATCGGTTGGTTGATTTGTTGTCAACTATATAGTTGGTTTTTTAATTAACGATTTGGATCACTATTTTATAAGCATTCCTTGCTTGTAAAAACGGGTAGTATATTAAAACTTTGTTCTGAAAATTTTTATTTAGAGTTAACTATGATTTTATTAGTTTTATTATCATTATTTTGTTGAACAAAGATTTTGCGATTTTATTAGCTCTGGACCTATACGGAGAGTCCATATTTGCAGTAATATTCTGTAAACATTCATTAATCAATTATTTTTAATAATTAATATTATTAAGACGTTCTGCCAACACTGCCAACCAAATATTTTTACTTGTGATCTTCTCTAAATCTTTTGATTCTCGGATCAAAACCTCCAGTGGCACATCAAATCCAAGTTTATCTAATATCATCGTAATCATATTTTCATTATCCGTATTTTCGACATCATCCGACGCCACTTTACGAAAAATTTTAAGTAAACTATCCAAAAATGGCGTAAAAACCACCATAGGAGGTTTCGAAGTGTCATCTTTCAAATTGTTAAAAGGTGGTAACCAAGTACATACCATAGAGGCGTTAAAAGAATAAAGAAACAATGTCGTAAGTGTCAAAAGATTATCATGGATATCCGGTGCTGATGTTTGCTGAGACATAAACGGTCTGACGATACAAAGCCGAGTGAATGCACTAATCCAGATATCGAGGAATAATCTGTTTATTTCCTTGAAATTGATAATCTAGAAAGGAGAGGAAAAAAAGTTGACATTAAAAGGTAATATGTTTGAACCAAGCACTGATGTATAATTAATTTTAGTATACCTTCGTCGGTTCAATAGCTTGAATTGTATTCACACAAAATTGATAAAGAAACAACGTGCCAAGTAGAATTCGTGTTATAAACCTAATGAGAAATATCGATAACTAAAGCATTATGTGCAAGTATTGTGAAAATACTTCAATCGATAGAGTATTTACTTAAACGGGACATTTATTACTAATTCAGCAATTTCAATTAATGTAAGGATTATGTCTTTATTTTCCAAAGAAATAAATTCTTCAAACAAATGCTTTAGTTCCGTCACAGTTGCGTCAAAAATATCAACTCGCACTTCACGATCGATTCCAATATCCTAAAAATTTTTAAATGTTTATTCGACGCAAACATTAATAAATTTTTAAATAACTTATATAATGAGCCTAACTTGACTACTTTTAAGCCCGTATTTTATTTCCAATTCTGCCACCTCCAAACGATCCAAATACACGTCAATGACATCGTTGTACATTAGCCTTGAGAGAAATGAACCTAATGACATCTAATGTATGTCATACATGAGAAAAGTATAATCTGATTTAAACGTAGTAATTTAGTATAAACGAATTAAAAATACCGATTCAACTTCTTCATATGTAAATAATTGAGCCAGTCGCAATTGATTTAGCAAGGGACCAATTTGATGCGGATATTCGGATCGATAAATCTTGAATCTACTTAGCCATAATTTGAAAGTTACTAATATTTTAAGAGATCAGAACGATAACGATCGGATTTCAAAAGCCTTACAGTATGTATATCGGCCGAAATCTCTCAAGATCTCGTAGTTCAAGCAGCTATATAGTAGATAATCCTAATTATTAAAAAGATCGATTGAATGATAAAAAATTTGAGCTTTTTTTTCTTTACAAATTTCAGGCATACAATTCTGATTTTGTTTTGGAGTATCCTGTGTTCAGACGGGTGATTAATGGCGTATTCAAGGATATTCTGACACCTTTGTAATCTGAATATCCACAACATTAGCGCGGTTAATAATTGGAACTAACGTATCAAAAATGGCGATCTTTAATACTTTTGTTCTGTAAGAATTTCATCATTAGTAAAACCAAGACCTATTGGAATATTCGTAATTTTAGAGAATCCCTCCACTAAGCGAGAAAATTCGAGATCTTCATACATTAGGATGCTTTTAGCCTAGTGAAATCAATAAATCGTAAATAATAATTTGATTATCATTGATAAATTCAACAGCGAAAAAACGTAGTACTTTGCCAAACTGTTCAGTTAAAAAAGAAGATATATTTTCTGGTTGCACATCTTGAGTATTAAGGATGCTATGATCTTCAATTTGCAATAGCCAGGTAGCCTCATCACGTATAAATGATAGCAACCAATGCATAGTACGTCCAGGCACTCTACTTATATGAAAAGCCTGTTTCAACAACATTATAATACAAAATCTAAAAGGAACTATATTAATGTGAGGTTATGTGATACGCATTGATCATAATAGATACACGTATGTTATCTTACAGAAATTGGGTTGTGGTTCAAAATTATTGAACAATTTCAATAAAGGAATATAAGCTTTAGGATTTATAGATTCGCGAAATCTTTGTACCAGTAAACGAGTAATAAAAATTCCGTTTAACTGAGTCATAGGCATTCACAAGTGGAAAAGTAAGTTTTAAGTCAAATTAGCCTTTTTCAAAAGGATAAATAAAACCTTACTGTGAAATCACTATTAGGTGTGATTTTATCAGAACAAATATATGCGAAGAGAACATCTGTGTAGGATTCGAATGAATCACTTTTTTTAAGCCGGTTAAGATTTTAAAATAAATTTTCATTATGTATAAATGATTAGAATAATCAAATTTTATTGTGAACCTTTGAATTTGCGAAATCGCATTGTCTGACGTAGTGTTACAGCTATCAAAAAAATGAGCGTAAGAATAGTCTCGTGGAAGAATGAAATTTGCCTCGATACGATGAAACAACAAATTAACAAAGGTTTCTGGATTCATGATTTGTGAATGAAGATACAGTAGAGGGATTTTGATTAAATAAAAAAATGATTGTCATTTATATAATTAATTATATAACGATATCAATATACCCAAGTAAATCCATTTGTGCAACATCATTTTTGACATGCGCGTGATTAGAATCAAAACAGTAAATACAGAAATACATCAATAAACAAACGTATATATAGAATCATCTTTACCTTTTCATGCTAAGTAATAATCTTTTATTAAAATGTATCTTTGTAAGTAGTTTTTATGTTGTACAAAGAAACACGCTATAGAAAATCGATATTGGATACATATAAGGTTTCGCGACTCACTGGCTAAGCTTGAAGGTCTAACGTACTGTGAATGGCCTGTTGTGAATATTCTGATGGTTTAATACCCCGCTTATTACTTTGGTTCTATGCTTGCGAGACTGACTAATTAAAGTAATTGCTCTTTATGAGGGTTGGGTAAACAAGAACCTAATGTTAACTGTTGCAGATGAGAAACATGGTGCATATAATCATGGTGCAAGTAAATATTTGACCTCAAAATATTGTACGATTTTGACCAATCAAATTTCAAGATTAGCCTGATCTTGAAATTTGATTGGTCAAATCGTACAATATTTTGTGAGGTCAAGCACCTTTTCGCTCTCGAATACTCAGACCGATGAATGATGAATGATCGAGATTAGTGTTTATTCACAGGTTGAAATAAAGTACACCAGATAAATACACGTTACTCTGGATATATCGATAATTTTTTTTTCATTAATAAAAAATTCAAAATGTCGATATAGTGAGTTATACCGACATTTTATATTAAATATTTTGAAAAAAAAAGTCGATATAGTAAGATTTTACTATGATGTCGTTATATCCAGATGTCGGTATAACCAGTGACGTGTATTATAGAAATATCAGGTTCTGATTTTTTGCCGAAAGATCGACCTTGTTCAAAAAAGTGGTCTTTATATTATATATGTTTAACGTTAACGGATTTCGGTAGTAATAAAGGATCTGGATCGAATACTATCTGAACGAATCCCTATTTGGGTTCGCATTCATAGGGCTCGATGAACTATGGATTCGAAATGATCTGTTGGATTGAATCCGAATTTCGAATCCATTTGGGAATACTATATAGTACTAAACACTTGGATTGGGCCGGTCAATTGGTCAAATTGTTCTGGTCAAGATTGACCGTTGATCGATCCATGCCAATTCTGGTATATATGTATGTGCTAAAGAAAAACTTTATTTATATAATATAAAATATTTTTTCACGATCATTAATAAATGCTTTGGTTCTTTGATCAAATTCTAGAAATTAAACTGCGTCACCTGACGTCCCCAGATAAATGCTATCTCGGGGTTTTGAAAAAAAAAATTCTAGAAATTTTTAGCTAACATAAAAACAATTAAATCACTAAAAGTCTGATAAGAATATACTTGTAATTGGATATAAAATTTTTATCATGCTTACAATATATTATTCTATAACTTTACTGATTTTAAAATATTTGAACGTTACAATGTATTATGATAACAAGCCGAACAATGATCTAGGATAGAAGTATTCATTATTTGTAGTTAGAAGATTCATAATATCTAAAATACTAATTCTATATAACTTTTGCTAATATTGTAGAATTTTAAAAGGTATAATATTCAACTTCACGATAAAAACCAAACTATTAATATAAAAGCATTAAATAAATAGGGCTAAAATAAATAGAAAATGTAGACAAAGAAATAGCAATTTAGATAAAAATCATAGAATCAAATAAAATTTTAGATATAATAAAAATATTGATAAAAATGACCATTATTCTTAGAAACTATAAAAAGTCCAAAAATCTATAAATATCTATTCGTAACTCTTTTAATGCATGTAATACTTATTGGGTGTTCAAATATCGTTAAAATTGTACGATTGTAATCATAATATGATATGCTTAAAAAATTTACAATATCAAGTAAGAAAACATGGTGTAAAAAGCTAATTAACTTATTACACCTTATGTCACACTTGCGAGCACCATTTCAGCAGATTTTTTATGATAAATAAAAGCCTTATATTCATCCTCTTTAACACCAATTCCCTTAAGGTAACAATAGCCAACACTAACTATTCCATTAATATGTCCCATTTTAGCAGACTTGTTATAATAAATGAATGCTTTATCTTCATTTTTTTCAACTCCGATTCCATCTTCATAACAATAACCAACATTATCTATTCCACCTGCATCACCCATATCAGCAGCTTTTTGATAATAAATAAATCCTTTATGTTCATCCTGTTCAACTCCAATTCCATTAAAATAACAATAGCCAACACTATTTGCCCCAATAGCGCTACCCATATCATCGGATTTTTGAAAATAAATGAATGCCATACGTTCATCCTTTTCAACTCCAATTCCATTGAGATAACAATATCCGACATTATATGTTCCACTAGTGTCACCCATATCGGCAGCTTTTTGATAATAAATGAATGCCTTATATTCATCCTTTTCGACTCCAATCCCATAACTATAACATTCCCCAACTTTGTATATTCCAATAACATCACCCATATCAGCAGCTTTTTGGTAATAAATGAACGCTTTATGCTTGTCCTTTTTAACTCCAATTCCTTCTTCATAACAACAACCAACATTATATATTCCACCGGGATGATCCATGTTAGCAGCTTTTATATAATAATTGAATGCATTACTTTTATCCTTTTTAACACCAATTCCATCATCATAACAGACACCAACACAAAATATTCCTTCAGCATAATCTTTATCAGCAGATCTTTTATAATAAATGAATGCATTATGTTCGTTCTTTTCAACCCATTT